AAATACCTGAAGTGAAATTGTTGAAATTACTCAGACGATGCCCTGAACTGCTATTTTCATTTATTCGTTTATACATTCTCTTCTAACAATAATTTAGCTTGTGCCATCATTCATTATCATTATTTAAACTTATTACTATTTTCAATAGGTACAGTGTTGTCATCGTTGATTACAGAATATGGAAATGGAAGCGAATCTAAAACGAATACGAATTGAAAACGAGAAATTATTGAGGGACATAAGACAAGTACAGGAGAGTTCAACTAGGAAGGTGGAATCAAGTAAGAGTGCACTCGAGGACGTCGTCGAGAATTGTCGCACTGTTGCGCGAGCGAAATCGGATGTGATGCGTGAAAAAGATGCGATTAATAATGAATTAATTTCGTTAAGGTTCCTGATTTGATTTGGTCTGATGTGTACAGGTTGTGATGATCGGATAATAGTTTTTGTTGATTGGTATGAAAATCGAATTAAATTTTCAGAGATCGCTTGAAAAAGATCGATGAGAAACGCATCGAAGCAGAATGCAGATTGAGTAAATCTGAGACAAATTGTCAACGTTTACAACAGCTGCTAAACGAATATGAGGAAAATGCTCGCAGAATGCTCACTTCTGCTCGTATGTTCTCTGATTATCACTTATTTACGTCATTATTCAATTCATATCATTTTAATGCACTCCATATAAATGCACCTTATTCAGTTGTCAATACATCGTTCTTAGTTTCAGATGTTCATATTGTGTTTTTTTTCCTCACTTGAAAATAAAAACAATAATTGATTTAAGCTGGTCATCCGACTAAAAGAAGTGATGTTTCGTCTGCACATAACCATTCATTTATATCATCTACTACGCATCAAAATATTGCGCAAATACAGCCAGCAGATAGAGTTGATCAAAATCAACAAATTAGTACGAAGCAATCCATTGAAATCACTTTCCATCAGTTGACCACTCGCGTCGAGCAATTACAGCAACAAACGGTTCATATTGCTCATTATAACTAAGCATTTTTCGTTCCTTCTCGCTCTTGCATTCAGTTCTTTCTCTTATTCAAATTTATTAAGCGTACTTTAGGTACTTTACCTTAAATTCATTATTTGCTTATTTATTTGTTTGTTTTTGAATTCATTTGTTGACAAATCGTTCCTCTTTGCTGTATTCAGCATTGTAAATTAACTGAGTTTTATTTTCTCCGCTACAGTGAACTGGAAAAAATTTTATTGTTGAAGTATATATTTTTGGATAAATATGATTGTTTCTTCTCTTTGTTTATAATTTTTAAAGTCGAGAAAATGAGCTATTGAAGTAGTTTTAATGACAGTGTGCATTCCGTACGAGTTATCTTTCGGAAATCTTCATTATTACTCTTTCAAATGCAGCTTTTGCAAGTGTAAATACCTCCTGGTTACCATATCTTTTCTCATGATCATTTTTTATTTAATTTGAGGTTAATATGATAAATTCTGAAAAAAGAACAGCAGAGCGGATTTTTGTTTGCAATAATTTGTGATTGGTTTGTTGCTTATAGGCAGAGGATGCTTTCACAATTGCTAATCTTCGCAAAGAATTGCAATATGCAGTTGAAAAACAACGAGAACTGGAAAAAATCAACGAAAAATTACGACAACAACTTAGCGAAGCTGAAAAAAGTTTCATTTCCTTATTCGAATAGCAATTTTTTAGTGATTCTTCTTGCTTCTTTTTTTTCACTGAAGTCTTTGTTTCTGATCATTCGGTGTTTCATTATGAAGGGAATTTTTAGAAAATTATGACTTTATTGTAATACGTTGTAATAGTGAATATTCAAGCATCTATCCATTTTCATTCAAGCTTTCAACCAACCACTAAACAATATGTTTATTTTACAAGACGTTAATTAAGGATTGATTCATTTTTGTTTCTGAACGTTGAATGTTCACTGCAGATAAAGCTGATGCTGAATCACGTCTGAACAATTGTCGTCAGTTGTTGCTTTCGCAAGAAGAAGCAGTGAATGTGAAGAATCATGAGCTGAAAGGATTCAAAAGTCGTATCATGACGTTTGAGTTGCATTCCAGAGAGAAGGACGCTAAGATAAACGCTCTCAACGTATGTTGTTTTGGAGAGTTGTTCTTATGAGATGCTATAAATTGAAGTCGAACAAAATGTGATAATGAAATCGATGAATGATAATTATACTAAAATTTAAAAGAAAAAGAATATAATTTTAAGGAACAAATTGGCTCGTTGAAAACTGAACTAATTGCAATGGAAGAGGAGCACAAATCCTGGAAAGCATCCGAAGCACTTTGGGAGGATGAACGAATCAGATTGAATCAGTTGCAAAAACGTACCGTTGAAGAGTTAGAAAAGTATCGTTCCGAGTTAAATGCGCTTAAAAATATCAATAGCGTTCGTTTTTATATCGCTTTTTTAATCATTATATTTTGTTCACCAACCAATCTTTGACATTATTGTTTTCATTACTCACAACTTTATAAGTACAAGTAGCATTTTTCAGTAGATTAGTTAATTTCATCAATTGATAAACCTATTGCATACAATGCTCGACAATCACTCATCATTCTATTCAGATCAGTTATTCAGATGAATAGTGTGTTTAATTGTTTAGAAACAGTGAATGATTTCAGAATCTGAGCACTCAACTAGCAGATAGCGAACATGCATCGGCAGTCGCACAGCGTCAGTGCACCGAATTGACGAAGGCTGTTAACGATTACAGGAAATCGCTGTTGCAATTACAAGTTGTTATTTACATTTTTAGTTGTTTTTACTTGATTCTCATCACAGGTTTAGGTGACTACTTTGCGAATTTATTCAACACTGCCTGTGGACACAGCTAATTAGCTCAGTTCACTTGCTGCAGTTGTGTGATGGCTCTTCTCTAACAATGAACACAGAAGTTGTTTAATTTCTTCATTGAAATTAATTCACGACTAGAAAGTTGAGTATCCAATTTCAGTTCCAGATATTCAGTCTTGATCACAGAGCTATTACTGGATTTCAAAATTCAGTTGTGCAGTGTTACAGTTGTTTACAATTAGTTTTTGTTTTCAATTGCTGCACAAATATTCTCACGTTGCATTACCACACAAAATATTCTTTAGTGCAAGCAAATTCTCGTTTGTCATATAATATAGTAACCACCTGAGAAGTTGAGGTGTTTGATCAGTGATTACTCAAAAGGCATATGTATAGCTTTTTTCGAATGCGTCGTCCTCGCTCGATGTTGTTGTATATGCATGTCAGTGCTTCTACATTGCTTACTTTTTCCGCTGTCCAAGTGAATGATAAATAATTGACGCATTGACTGATCAGTAATATGATATCCGTTAAATTCCTTCATGCTTGCATGTAATTGCACTTTTCAAACCTATCGTACCGCATCATACGAAGAAAAGTTGTGATGATTGTTCAGCTGATTAATCACTTATTTGTCACTGTGTAAATGATTGTCGCTCGTTTGTTTATTGTTTATTTGTTTATCTGTTTGTTTGTTCCATTGTTGCTAAGTACACGTTTTTATCAGTTTGTTTGTTCCGTTGTTGCTAAGTAAAGGGGACTCCGATACTCAGTTCGAATAGCATAGTTTGATGTTCGCTGTTGTTTCGTTTATTGTTCACAATTCACAGTCAGTCACAAATCTCAAATTGCATGTGAACATTTCAATGCAGCTTCTTTTCAAGTTCTTTTTCTTTTCGAACGAACTCATATTATCGCTATTCATAATTGTGCATCATCTTAGAGTGGAAAAATCATTATCAGACCGCATTATTTAGGTGGAAAAAATTGTCGTAATGCTAACAAGACAATGAAGTAAAAGTTGAGTTGCGTTGAGTTTTGTACGCTTGTTTCAGGGAACACAGCTTACTGGAAGGTCCAATTTGTATTCATCATTTGATTTCTGTATTCAATCTTGACTTGTCCTTACAAATAACCTTGTCTGTATTGCATGTTAATTAAAACTCCGATACTCACAGCTTGACGCCCGTTGTGATGAAAGAGACACCGCTCATTTGATAAGATATTTGTAATTCAATGTTTCTCTATGAAAGTTGAATTTATTCGAACGACGAGCCGTAGAGATGCGTTCATTTTCGTCCAAACATTCTCATTTATTAAAAGCGTTTATCAGTTGAAAGACGAGGAATTCGTTGCATCAGAATCCGATGCTGTCAGCAATTAGAGGAAACTTGTTACCGTTAAGCGGTTTATATTCACAATATCATCAACGAACACTATGATAATCTTGAGTGATTATTGGGTAGGAATGACAGAAATGACTTCAATAACGTTAGTTAACGGACTGATGAGTGCTGATAATTTGTACATTCCGTTCTTGATCAATGCAAGTGCGTGTTTTTCGGTATTTTAAGTTTAAGGTGGTGAACGCTCGAAAGCACATAGTACCAACGCATTTCACATCTCGGCGGCTAACTCTAGCTGAATCTAAACAAAGTTCATGCTTCATACTTTCATAGTTATTTCTACGTTCGCTGAACTCATAACATGAACTAAAAAATCTTTTTTGACGAATGCTTTATCGACATTCCTACATGTTCCTTCCCCTCCTGCTTGTATGTTTCATAATATATCACGCTCTAAAATAACAGTCCAAATTATATCGTTGAAATTCACCATATATTGCAATAACCACTATTCTAACTATTATCACCGTTTTATTTTTAAAGCACCTATGCGCGGTTCGCTTTATCATTGTTAATGAGCGCTTCTCGTGAAATTAACAAATTTCCATTTCAAAACGTTCATTTTTCAAACAGTTTGTGGTGTTGTAGGCAAATTATGCTTATTTCCAAGCAGGTGAAGTTGAATATTAGGAAAGTTGACGTTTTGTGAAGAGAAATGTGATTAGCTGAAGTTTCAACTAGATTTTAAAATATTGTATGACTATTCATGAGATATGAGAAGTAATTATGAGCTAATGGTGTGCACTGATCACTGTTTATTATTTGATTACTAATTATACGTAATACAACTGTTTAGTTTATTATCATTTGGTTTCATTAATTTGTCAAACTTGATCATATTGAATACAGTCGTTTGTGTCGGTTATGTGCTAACAGTTTGTGGTTTCTTGTGGATAGTGACGGAATGAATTACTGAATCAATTTAAGGCAGTCAGTGTTTTCGGCTTTATCAAGAAGTAATAATACGGTAGTAATATGAGTTATTCATTATTTAGGTGATAACTAAAAGCGATTAACTTTAAAACTTAACAGATTCGTTCGAAAGAACAGTTGCAAGGCCACACTCATCCAGCGGCAACAGCACGTTCATCATCTATATGCACGTATCAACGCACTGAAGTGGTCAGTCGTGAACGACGAGAAGTATCTGCCTCTTCATCTGTTAAACTTTATAAAGCAAGTCATCGTTTAGTCTTTTATTCTGCTCTTTCACTTATATTGACCATCATATTCATTTCACTGTCATCTCGAACATCATTCCTGTGTCGCACAGTTCATTCTAAAATCTGATCCTTGATATTTCCTTCGATATTGTATAAGATGTATTCAGTTAGGTAGATACTCGACAGCTCAACTGTTTGCTGTATCCAACAGTGTCAAACAAAGTGAAGTTCTTAATGAGCTTCATGAAGATAATAGTCATTATTAAGATATTGTTTGCTTGAAGCAATTAAAGTGTATAGGAATACGTTTAGGTTTATGATAACCATTATAAGTATTATGCACTGTCTAATAGTTATTTTCATATCATTGCTTTGTTGTTTCCCAATAATTTACACTCACAATTAGTTTTGTTCATGCTCAAGAAAATCATTTATCAAACGCATATTTTGAAAGTTGTTTTTATTGTTGAGCAAAA